CGCTCCTCAGCGCAGAGCAATTAAAGGATGAGGTTAAATAACAATTAGTCTTTGTATCCAAGCCCAGAGCATATGCTGAACAAATTTGGGCTCGTGGACAACGTCTTCGGTCAGTAAGCGCGGCCCCTTCCTGCCCCTTGGTTACAGCTCGGGGGGGGGCTGCGACTTGCCCAGGCCCCCGGAGGATGCAGGCACGAGCCCAGGTCGCAACGTCATCGTTCTTTGTTTCTCAAGTCACCTGCAAGTAATTTTCCTGATACAAAAGCGTATGAAATTTGCTTGCAAATTTGTTTGAATTTGCATCCAAATAATCTATATGAACAAGTCACAGCCTAATAGGAGATTAAAAACTGGAAAAAGCATGAAAGGAAAAATGTGGACGTTTTCCCCATGAGCACTTTCGCTTATCAAAATAATTAAACATCACAGCTACATTTTATATTAATTTATTAAAAAAAAGATACACAGTCTAATGTGCAAATATATACAACAAACATTACAATGAAACATCAGGAAGGCGAGCCCCTTCCCTCTATCAGTGACTTACTCCTTTGTAACAGAGATGACTGTTTAATGCTTCCCCATAGATTTACAAATACAAAAAAACGTATAATGCTTCATTTGCACAAGACCAAAGTTTCTTTTTATTTGAACAAAACAACATTCTGGCTTTGACATGGCAAAAGTCTGCTATTTTGGTGGCTTTTTTTTTTTTTTTTTTTTTTTAAAAACCTGAGCAATTTTTGCAGAACAGGGGAACAAAGGAAAGGCATTGCCCTGTGCTTCGTTCTCATCACAGCATCTGATGGTCTTTGATTACTAAACCACTGACTCACTTCAAGGAATGCAACTCCAAAATTAACACCTATGATGTAATTAGTGACATGGAAGAGAACGGGTGCTATCGTTGGCGAAAGTTAACTGGTCGAAAACACTGGGCTCGAGTGAAACGGCTGTTGACATTTCTCAGGTAAAGTGTTCCTATCTGCCAGTAAGGAATTTAATGCTGCCTCCTGTAATAAAGGAATTATAAATGGAAAATACAGTTTAGACCAAAAAGCAAACAAGTCTTGGATCCTGCTACACCTTGCTCAAATGCGTGCTCAGTGAAAGTCTGCAGAATGAGGCCAAACTGAGTACAGACCTTGGGAATGCGTGTAACTCCCAGCGAGTACTGAAATCCCGCTCGCTCCAGGAAAGAACTTCAGGTCAGACTGATTTCTTTACGATCCTTTAGGATGTATTTCAAGCAGGCATTTGACGCAGGCTATTTGTGCATTCAGTGGCCACAGACAATTTCAGTAAGAGACCCCGATGAGCTCCCTCCCGTCTGGGGGGAATCCAGCTGACAGCCCTAACAATAACCACAGGACCGAAACCATTTAGCTTGTTCGTTTTCCACATCGTCCTGCAACCGAGCGTCATCTGGCTACTCCACATAGCGACATTTCCAATTAAGCAAAAACTCTTCTGCTCATTTAGCATTCCTCTCCATTTTAACCAAGAAAGCCCAGCAGCGCTAGAGAAGGCACTACGAGTCCTGAGCCGGGCAATGCCAGCTCCCCCAGGAGACGAGAGTTTCCTAAGGGACCGCTGGCCACCCCGTGCTCATTTAGGTGCAGAGCCTCTCCCTCTGCATCAGCTCTCATGATACTTTTTTAAAGAAATCCATATGAATAACAACATAACAGACCCGCAGCAAAAAGATGCCGCCACCGGGAGCGTGCCTGGCTGACCTCGCAGCCAGCACTCACCAAGGGCTCTTTGCCCGGGCTGCATTTTCAGACGTGACGTTGTCAAAAGCTGACACAGTTTTCAGGTGCTTTCGCAGGTTTTCTTTCCTCTTTGGCCAAGCGATCAGTATTTAAGAACAGACTTAATTAAAGAGTGACTCACAGGGGCTGCTGTGGTTCCGTTCACACCAAAATCCTGAAGGATGGGGTGGCCACAGCAAATTCGGCCTTTGCTGTCCTCCCACCATCCTCCTCCTCATTACCCTCTTTGGAGTATTGTGGAATTTGACTAAAACAAACAAAAAGCCTTGGGGGAGGACTGCTCTGCTTTTAAAACTTTTTTTGTTTGTTTTTTAATTGCTCCTGTTTCGTGTGTTGTGCTTCCACAAGAATGCACGGCACGGACCCTGGAGCAGCGGGTAAAAACAGACCTTAAATGAAAAATTTGAGTAAACCCTCAAAGTAGCTCTTAGTTAAAAAGTGAAAGTTAGAAACCAGTGAGCAGCATTTGATCAAGATAAGAGAGCAGTGGGGACAAGCAGGGGACACGTGGAAGTTGAAAGGGGGCCCTTCTCACCCAAGGACAGCCCCTGCCAACCTGTACGTTTATGTCCTTTTAGGGGGAAAAAAAATACCAACAGAGCTCTTTCTTTTCTAAACTTCTAAATGATCCATTAGCCAGGATTGTCAAAGTTGAAATATTTTTTACAATAAACTAGAACAACAAGCAAGCCAGTTGTCTCCAATAATGTGGTGCTTTTCAGAAGAGTCTGACAGCGTGAAAAGAAACACTCCAGCCCAACATGAGCTGATTTGTATGCTATCGCAATCTGCATCGGAGGCTGCCATGCCGTCGCTCTGCAATTTGGGATCTGCAGCAGCATAGCATAATTTTACCTGCCCCATGTTTTCTGTCCCCTATTGTAATACATGTCTTAGCTGGGCTTTTCACTCTTTCAGCACTGCAGCACACACCAAAAGCTTTCAGTGCCATGTATTATTTGTACACCTTGAAAGAAAGGCAATTCTTTTGATCAGAAAAGGCAAATGTCTCTGTAACTGTGGCCCTTTCTTGCTTACCTCTCTCTAACGCCTCTGTGGAGGCGCAGATCTGCACCGCCTCTCCCCAAACCCACTTCCCCTGCAGCAACACCACACCCAGGGCACGGTTGCTCAGAGCGCTCCTACATCAGTTTTAGGACAAAACATTTGGGTTTTCAACAAACTAAATTTCACACCAGACAGACAAGATTTATACGGAAAAGTCTGAATTCTTTTCAAAACTTTTTTGAACATTAACTTTCATTTTAGAGCTTGTGGGGAGGAACAGAGTAGGAGGAAACAGCAGGTCAGCTATCTGCAGTATAAATCCCGCTTTTCCAAGCAGCTCTAGTCCAGGACACTTTAAGCCTGAAGGGCTGGGTGCCCAGTTTGCCCCAGAGTCAATAAAGGCGCTGGTGAACCTCGTTGTTCTCGCAGGGTAAGCCACTAAGAGCCCGGTCACCACGGATTCCCCAGCTTTGTATTTGCTCTAAAGAAGCAGCGAGATTTGCAAGCGCTTCGGCTCTCTTGAGGTAGGAGAAAAACGGTGTTTCTGTTAGCTGCGCTGCCTCTTCCAGCAGGACGCGCGACTCGGCCGCGTCTCTCAGCCTCCCAGAGTGCCCAAATGGCTGAAGCAGAATGCGTGCACGGGGAACAGTAAGTAGGAGCCTTGAAACGCCAGTGGTTCTGCAATAACATTTCTACGACCTCTGTTTGGTAAATCAGCATTTTTGGGATGTCAGATTACAGTAATACAACATGGTAGCAACAGGCACGTGAAGGGAGGCCACTGACTTGGCACTGTCAAAGAGGAAATGTTCCGTTAAGTGTCCTGGCTGGCTGTCCTCGCGGGCAGGATCAGACCTCTTACGGCTAGTGGGACTTACCTGCACGAGCAGAGCCGGCAAGATCAAATCCAGTGTGGGTCACTCAGCGGTACTATGTACTTCCACGATTCAAGTGGCTGTATGCCACCTTAAGATAAAGATTGCAGCCAAGCTTTTAAAGTTAAATATGTTATAAACTATACACATATGTGATCCTGAGATAGTGCCTGTAACAAGTCCCAAGGTAGATAAGCTTCCTGAACCCAGAGGTCCTCACGCCGCGTAAGCGTATTGTTGTTTTATTTTGGCAGGCCTGCTAGCCTCTCTCGGAGCACGCTGCACTTCCTAATTTGCTTTTTTTTTTTGGGGTGGGTCTAGTGAAACAATCAGTTTGAGGACTGCTACCAGCAATTCCAATGGTATTTCTTCTGCAGTTCAGATGAAAGCATTCTTGATCCTTTGCCAGTTCTCCCAAGACTTGCAGAAACAGGCTCACAGCTTCCCTTTCTATTTTTTGGCCAGCCAAGAGCTGCGTGCCTGCAGCCTCCTGCTAGAGGAGCAGCTGTGCTGCGCCGAAGACACTCCTCAAGACAGGAGAGAAAACATCAGTAGGAATCAGACAGAAAGGCGACAAGTATAAGCCACAACGGAGAGAAGAAGCTTAATACGATGACCGTCGTCCACAGGGTCAAAGACCACGCGTTCCAGTCCCATTGGTACACAGTCTTGCTTTGAGTTTCTGACAGCAATAGCTCAGTCAGACCTTTTAAACCCAGGGGAAAAATATTTTCCAAAATTCTCTTTGCTTAAGCACTATATATTCAAAAAGTTCTTTTTATTGTTTCAGTATTTTAGCCCTTAGTTGATTAGTCACCAATACCTGTCAGATGCCCGTTGCCATGAAAGCACTCTGAGCACCTGCAGTATTTGAAAGAATATCAAAAAGTAGCTTTAGCAACTAGGAATTATGCAACAGAGGAAGAAGGCAGGACTAACTAGATTAATGCAACATGTAGTGGATTTGTTAACATTAAGTGTATGACTCGTTGCAGAATCATGCCAGAAAATGGTACCATGTAGCTTACTGGTAAGGGCAGTAAAAAGGGTAATGCATTACTTTTAATCATCAGTGAACCACTCACTCATTCAACATACTATTTCCAGCCGAAATCAAAGGTTTCCATTAAAATGCCATTCCTCTACAGACCGTAAGCATCTTACAACTCTCTCTCTGCCTTTGAACTCTACTGTGATAGCTGCTTCATTAACATTGTGGTTCCAGTGCAAAACCAAAAAAAATCCTCCGGATCTCAAGTCTTCTTCCTTTAGACTTTCGATTGCCTCTCATCTGTCCATTCCTG